GTTCGGCTGAGGACAACGTCTGGTCTTGAGATTTATTAATCGTCATGGCGAAGCAAACTGTGACGCGGAAATGTGGCCGCTTGAACTCTAACGGTTAGTTGCTAAGAATTAATGGAATAATTGGGATAAATACCAATTCCCCAGCACTACAACCCGTGAGAATTTCTGATTTAATCATGTATCACTGGAGACTGCAAAATCCAATCACGCAAATGGAAATTCACTTATTCTGCAGGTTTACTGCCATGGGGGTAGTTTACAGGTCCCCGAGGTATTCTCACATACATAGAGTGAACGTGAATAAATGAGAACATCCTAAAATAATTACACTATTTTAGTTCATCCCTAAAGGTTAATTTAATTTATCTAACAGCATTTCATCAACAGATTGCATTTAATGGACCTATAAATAAACATTAGTCTAACAAAAACAAAGTTTTCCGCTTGTTTGGAGCTATCCAAAACAGCTCTTTGAGAGCCAACGGAACGAACACTAATGCATTTGTTTAAATGTCTTTGTAAGTGGCATTGATCACTTCATTGTGCTAAATGTATTAGGACACTGTTCACGATATTTCTATTCATCTCACGAATGCCCATATCTATTAACTCACAGTTAATGTTCCAAACCTAATTAATACGATGAGCTATAACTTGTATGGATTAAACTGGAAGATATATAAATATGGCTCGTACATTTATCTGTTTACTAGTTTTGCATTTTTGCCTTATTGAATACTATTTTCATATAAAGAAGATTGATGTTGAATGTTGTGAGTTTTATTTTTAAATAGTTTTATTTTTTTAATGTATTGTATAGTGATTTTTTTAAAAATACTTGTAGCAACTCAGTCAGTAGTATATAGATCATTCTATGAAATGTTATTTAAAAAATTATATTTTTATCAAAATTAATTTTTCTATTAATTTTAAACAAAAGTATAGCCTACTTAATTATTAAAGTACGGTAGCTTAAAAGTCCCTTGGGGGTAATTCGAGTAAAACTCTTTGTTAAGGTAATATAAATAAATTACAATTACATAGCTAGTTAGAAATTAATTTAACAAACGTTCTAAATTATTTGAATCTCTATATAAGGTACACGAAATAAACATGGGGTACGAATGTGTGGTAAATTAGCTACGATAATTTAATACACATTACAATATTTAACCATGGGTAAAAACGTGGTGACTGTGATCGTATTAAAATATTATTGCCACTCACTATTTGCATTCCTACAAACCTTTAAAAATATTTTTACTATGAGCTTGTCTCAATTAATTGTCGTATCTAGTCGTTATAAATTGGCTTTTGTGAAATTCTGGTTGAATTTCCATAAAATATATAGCAAAGGCCCTATGTAGTAGGTACTGTTAGAGAAGTAATATTTCTCATCTTGTCTTTACATCATCACCTGATTTAATATTAATTGTCTTTTTTACCTTTTTTATGTTGTGGTTTGGTGTAATTGTTAAAAAGATGTATTAATAATTAATTTTTTCAGTACAAAAAAAATTTCCATTATTTTTTCTGGGCTATTTATTACATTAACTATTAGGTTACGGGACTTTTACAATTTGTAAATGTAAATTTTGTCATTGTAAATCCTGAAAGTAAGATATTTTCAACATAACTATTTTCCTTCTATTTGTTGCTGCTGCTATCATTGGTATTATTCATCATAGTGGAGTATCTTTCAAAATGGGGGAAAGAGACATGAAAATAGGAATTGAACTGCTTGAAGGAGTTTCCAACTACAATAACTGGAGGTTTGCAATGAAAATGGTCCTAATACACGAAGATATATGGAATAAAATTGAACCGCATGATACAAGGGGAAGTGAAGTAACTCAAGGGGAAGGTTTGGCAAGTGAAAAGAAAAAAAATTAAAAAGCACTTGCTAAAATATGTTTATTTTTAAAACCTTGTTGTTATCCTCACGTAAGAAATGCAAAAACTGCAAAAGAGGCTTGGGACAATCTTAAAAATGCATTTGAGGATAAGGGATTAGTTAGACGACTAAGTTTATTGAGAGTTTTATTCAATACTAAACTTTCTGATTTCGGTTCAATGGACGCTTATGTTACCAAAATTATATCTGTCTCACAACAAATAGCAAACATAAGTAAGCCCTTCGAGGATGAATTTCTTGGTGTAGTCATGTTGAATGACTTGCCTAGTCATTATGAACCTATGGTTATGGAATTGGAAAACTCGGGAACCGAATTAACAGTTGAACTAGTCAAGTCTAAACTACTTCAAGAAGATTTAAAATCTGTCAGCCCTGGTCAAAACATTTTAAACAGAAATGCATTAGCTACAAAACAGGACAATAAACGTTCTGACGTGTTAAGTTATCGATGCCACAAACATGGTCATAAGGCATAAAATCAGATCGTTTAAAAAACTCTTCTAAATTCACGAAGGGTACTAATCCGATTAAACATGCTAATCAGATATCGAATAACAGTAATGAAAGCAGTGACTGGTGTGCTCTATCGGCATATTAGCAGCTACAACTAGTGCTGATTGCTGGTATCTTGATTCAGCTTGTACGAATCACATGACAGGTCAGAGAGATTTACTTCAAAAATACCAAAAGTATAGCAAAACTGGTACGGATGTCATTGTGGCGAACAATGAAAAGCTAAAATGTGAAGGTCAAGGAGAAGCAACAGTCATGATAGAGTCTGTTGAGAGAAATGTTACTGATGTAGTCCATGTACCTAATTTAAGTTTAAATAAAGGTCTAAAAATGTTTTTTTTTCTGAGGACGGGTGTAATGTATACAAACAGGAGGACTGCAATGTATCGGGCCAGCCTGTAGCTCATGCCACAAATGTGGATGGTCTTTACAAGTTGGACATTGATCCTGATAACCAAATGTCAAGCAACTTTGCAGGAAATAGTAAAGACACAGAAGATCTATGGCACCGTCGTCTTGCTCATTTAAGTCGGAAATTCATTAAATTCACCCTGTATTTCTTGGATACAAGGTAAGAAAACTACAGCTCCTTATTCTATAAATAAGAAGGGAACTCGCGCTGCAGACATTTTAGGATTAGTGCATTCCGACTTATGCGGCCCATTGAATGTTAGTTCGCATGGAGGAGCTCAATACTTACCAACTCTCACTGATAATTTTTCAAGAAAGACATTCGGCTACTTTTTAAAGCAAAAGAATGAAGTTGTTTCCAAAGCTAAAGAATGGAAATTGTTTGTAGGAAACGAGACTGGGAAAAGATTGAAGAAACTCCGTACTGATAATAGAGGTGCATTTGTGAACAAAGAGCTAGAAGATTTTCTTAAAGCTTCTGGAGTACAACATCAAACAACTGCTCCATACTCACCATCTCAAAATGGCGTTGCTGAAAGGGCAAATCGTACAATTTTTGAGAAGACTCGTTCTCTGCTGCATGATTCTGGGTTAGACAAAAAGTATTGGGCTGAAGCAGCTAATACTGTAATTTATTTGAAGAATCGGTCTCCTACTAAAGCTGTTTTTGGGAGAACACCGGAAGAGGTGTGGACCAACAAGAAGGTTGATCTTAGGCATTTGCGAGTTTTTGTTTGCAAAGCTTTTGCTCACGTGCCAAGTGGACAAAGAAAGAAGCTCGATCCCAAAAGTCGTGAGTTGATTTTTGTTAGTTATTGCCAAAACTCTAAAAACTACAGACTTGTTGATCCAAGATATTCCTCTAAGATAATCATATCCAGAGATGTTATGTTTTTAGAGAAAAACCCAGTTGAAGGGGGAGAAGTGAGGGATAACAAATCATAAGATTTTAGATCTATCAAATTATTTTTCAGAGAGAAGAGCCACAACTGAGAATGATGTTAATGATGAGAATGTATCAAATCTAGAAGAGGACATGCATATAACAGATGACACAATATCAGAACCTGACATAGAAAACAGAGAATCAAATCTGGAAGAAGAGATGTATACAAAAGAAGCATGTCATGAAGCAGAGGTGAGAAGGTACCCACAGAGACAACGGAATCCAAAGGACATTGGACCATTTCAAGTTTATAATGTGGTTCATGATCGTACACCAATTCATCATTTGGATTTGTCAACTGCTTTTTTGAACAGACAGCGGAAAGAAGCCCTATATATTCAACAGCCTGAAAACTTAGTTGTATCAAGAAAACAAGACAAAATGTGTTCCTGGCCCAATGCATCAAGAGTTAGTGCAATTAATCGGACTGGATCAAGTTAAAAAACATCAAGGGGTGGTGTTAGAGAAGTAATATTTCTCATCTTGTCTTTACATCATCACCTGATTAAATATTAATTGTCTTGTTTACATTTTTAATGTTGTGGTTTGGTGTAATTGTTAAAAAGATGTATTAATAATTTGTTCAGTATTAAAACGTTTTCCATTATATTTCTGAGCTATTTATTACTTTGACTATTTAGGTACAACAACCATTATTTCCTCGTATTCGCTTTATAATATTGGCAGTGAGCTCTATTATTGGAACGCTGTAGCGTAGTCTCGTTAAGAATAACAGTGCAAAGCTTTCGTTGATAATTTTATAACTAAAAACGTATATTGATTTGAACATTCAGCTACAGTATTACAAAGGATAGACTGATATATCTGCTACAGGATAATCAGTGTTTTTTTAGATCGTTTTATTGCCCAGTCACGAGCGTAGTTATGAACGACTACCATTTGAATACAATGGAGTACTAGTTTCTATAGATACAAGACTCATACCTTTCTTCAAACTCATCTTCTATCTTTTTGTATCCAGCTTGTTTAGCACGGAAAATACAGAAAATATTAATTTAGCTCAAATAACAACACCCACCCTCAGCTTCAGTCAACGGCCATTTACATTGAAAGTTATCGTAACAGATTAATGAATTATTGAGAGTTAACAATCTATTTGATAGATCATTGTGAATAGGATATAATCTCGTATTCAATAATAAACTGTTTTAATTGATTTTACAATAACTAACTCCATATGAATATGTCACTTACCACATTTTAATGCAAATGTGTGAACTTGAATTTCATCCTGAAACAAAAACGTAAGAACATATATAATTCAAGCCTCTTCCTATGTTCTGTTAATTTAGGCTAGTATATTTCTCACTTACAACTAAACAAAGCTTAAACATAAAAGCTTTATTAAAATTTCTTCTTTTCTAATGTATATTATCTCATGTAGTAGTAGAGTGTGCCAAATGTGTATTACCGTTCTGATTTTTACCCAAAAGTTTGTCACAACCTCTAAAACTCCCATGAAAATAAGGTTGTTCGATTTCTATACACACAAAAAGGTTGAGCAAAATCATTGTTTTATTTTTATAAATAGCTCATAGTTTATCAATTTTGCACGGATAAACAAGTTAAGACAATTGAATGACTAGGTGTACAACTGTGCAATGCAGTTGTCTGCTTTCAATATTGAGCGGGGCTAGCATACATTGACAAGCATCCAATGCTTTTCTAAATTTAATGCTAACTCTGTTTATCATAAATGCGATACGGGGTGGTGCAAAAGTCCTAACATTTCCGCCTAGCAATGCTCTGAGATGGCCAGCAAGATCATGGACCGAAAGAAATATGTTGTTTGGTAACAACATATTTCTTTCGGTCGTTGGTACGAAGGACGACACGTTGAACATGCTTTTGTTTAGTTAATTAATTGTAAGCTTTGTTTAAGTAAACTATTAATCTTTTTTTTTGTTTCCTTTTTTGCACAACGCGTTATATACTTGCAGTATCAAATGTCAGGGGTATATTTTGTTCACATAAATGGGATATCTATTTGCAGTATCCAAAGTCTCTGGTTCAAGTAAATGAATTGTCTACTTGCAGGAACCGAAGTATTTTTTTTATCACAGATTAAAAATCTACTTGCAGGATCCAAGGAAAATGATATATATGGTTCGCATAAATGAAATAGAATGGCTTTTTATAGTATCCAAAGTCAATGTTACGCCTTCTTCGCTTAAATGGAATGTCTATTTACAGGTTCTCAAGTCAATTGTACGTCTGGTTCACGTAAACGAATTGTTTACTTGTAGTATCAAAACTTAACGGTACATTTGGTTCACGTAAATGAATTGTCTACTTTTGGTATCCTAAATCAATGGTACACCTGCTTCACATAACAGATAAATTGACTTGCAGTATCCAAAGTTAATGTTACATTTGGTTAACATAATAAGATGCATATTTTAAGTATCCAAAATCAAATGGAGGCTTACTTATTGTTCACTAAAATAGAATGTCTATTTGCAATATTTAAAGTCATTGATACGGAAGGTTTACGAAAGCTAATTGTTTACTTGCAGTATGGTCGATGGCACATTTGGTTAACGTAATTAAATTGTTTAATTCTAGTACCTATACTAACTCAATGGTACGGTTCATGTAAATTAATTGTTTACTTGCAGTTTTCTAAGTCGATTTACGTAAATTTACGCTCATTTGATTTACGTAAATTGAGTGTATATTTGCAGTATCGAAACTCAATGGTATCTTTGGTTCACATTAGTGGAATTCCTATTTTCAGTACCTATTCAAAGTCTGCATTAATGGTACGTCTAGTTATGTAAATGGTAAGTCTACTTGCAGTATCCAAACTCAATGATAGGCCTATGTTTGGTTCACATTAATGGAATGGCCATTTGTAGTATTTAAAGTAAATGGTGCTCTTTAACATGGGCCTGATTCCGGCGACCATAATAATTGGATATTCAATTGTAGTAAATTATGCTTAATGATATTAATCCGATTGTTCTTCCCTTTTTCTCTATACGGTATTTCTAATGTGTTATTTTAGATGGTCCTTTAAATGTTGCAACTCTTGTTTACCTTTTTATTGTTATCTCGCAAACATCGTCATAGCAACCAATTAACCTTTAAGGCCAATGTTAAATTTCTAAAAGTTTAAATTCACGTAGGGAAAATCCGTGTGGTCCAATTTCTACCATTTCAGACTCATACCTTCCAATGACTGTCCAATGAACTATAACTGTAATAAATTTCGTGCAGATCGCTTCAGCAGTTCAGGAGGAGTATTTGTAAAACAAAAGCAGCAGTGTAGTATATGAGCTTCGTTCGCTTCGCTTCGCTCCGCTCAATAAGTCGTGCTGAGTTTCTACACTTTAGTGAAACTGTTCTTTACGGTGAAAATACTTCTGGTTATAACATCACACTTTCACGTAAATTGGTAAAAAGCAATTTAGTAGATCATCTATGTCCCTCATGTATCTTATCTCCTCTCCATAACACAGCTAAAAAGTCTATAAAAAATTGAGTAGAAATGTATGTGACCATAAAATGATAGTGTAAAATCTTTGTTTAAAATTGCTTACAATAACAACTCAGCACCTGATACAAAAGTCGTGCCTTGCATAGAAACACAGTTGTGAGATAGAGTAAGGCGTTATAGTTAAAATATGTTAGTGAATTAATTAAAACAGATAATTGAGTATGTTGAATGATTTTTGTACAATGATTAATTATGGAGAGAATAAAAAAGTGTGAATTTAAAATTTCCACGTTATTCTTATGAAGAATATATAGAGATAAGTGAATTGCTGTAGTTTGCTTGTTTATCGGTGTATTGTGATCAAACTTGGAAAATGTATTTATTTTACACTATGTTATACTTTACTAAAAACATTCTTTTATTACCCTTCCTGTAGCAGCTAACCTACAAACTTGTTGAACATAACGCTATTTAAATATATTTATATTAAGTCAAAATCTAATCAGGCAAATGGAAATTAACTTAGCCTGCAGGTTTGCGGTGGCCAGGGTAATAATATATATTAACATAACTCAAGATCCCTTATGTAAATAACATAAAACATTTACTTTAAACGTAGTAGCTATAAAATATAATTCAACTTTTTAACTATAAAAAATCCTAGTTTTCTGAAGAAAAAAACTGAAAACAAAAATCTACAACTAGGAAATTTATTTTATTATCATCAAAAGATTTTTGGAAAATACATAAAACAACTTAATAGATCAGTAAAGTAAGTGACATCCTGCAGGCGTAACCTATACAAATAAAGAAGTAGAGGCCCAAAGTTGTTATAGCATTAGTTCGCTTTGAATTCAAGGTGTAACTCTAAGGAAAGTCGCAATACTGCAGTAAAACAAAACTTTCTTTTCTAGCGTCCCAGAGGATTCGAAAATATATCGTTTCTATTGTTCTTTAGAAAATGTTCTGCAAGGTATTTTGTAGTTTGAGTTTATTTGTATTTTTAAACGTAGACGCTCACTGTGTTCCCCACTCTAATTGGTATTTAATAATAAATTTCCTTGTCAATTTTCAAAGTAGATGCAGAGATAAATCTATTTATACAGAGAATATATATTATATAGATTTTTATCATATATAATATATATATAGTCTCTATGTACATTGAAGCATTTTATGCATGAAGTGAAATTATCCTATATACAGGGAATTTTCTTAACGCACAACCCAAATTAGAAGTACTGTGAGACAAATTTTAATTACAATAACTCCTTACATTATGTTATCCCTATTATATTTACCTCATTGCCGATCAGCTGATGTACGTCGTTACATCGTTATCTTTGAGCTTTAGTGTTATAGGGAATTTATTGTAAATAAGACACAAAATCGCGTTCTCCAACATTTAAGAGTTAGAATAATACAATGAAAGTAAATGATTAGTTTTATGCTAAGAAAGGTTTGAAATTAAATTTCCAGGTGTGATTCTAGTATCTAATAAATCCCCTATTACTGACATGACAAATTTAATGAAACCAAATTCAAATTTAAGGAAAACTTAAATCTCTAGATTTTAGCGAAAATAAAATCAGGTAAATGGAAATTTTCTTAGTCTGCAGGTTTGCTTTGACAGGGTTAAGCTTTCACTGTTAGTTGCATCGTGTCCGTCACCGCGGTACTTATGGCCGGCCGCGCATTCATTTTTGTAAATAGTTTGTGTCCGTGTTCGTGTTTATACAGGGTGGCTGAAAAGTAACTTGCACCCCCAATTAACTTTTCATCCATTTGAGATATATTTGAAATCGGTTTGCGGCAACCTTCTTAGATATGAGGGGCTACAATAATTATGGTCAATTTTAAAAATTATGCCCTTAGGGGTAGCGAAGGTAGGGGGTATCTCAAAATTTTCAAATGACAAGTATAGTCGAGTTTGGTATCATTATACAGGTCTTGATGAAACATAAACATTGACATAAAGAAAACCAAAATCGGTTCACTAATAGCAAAATGGTGCCCTAAAACGTTTCAAATCCAAATAAGCTTGCACCCTCTTTAACTTTTAAACTATTTGAGATATTTGAAATCGGTTTGCGGCAACCTTCTTAGATATAAGGGGCTACAATAATTATGGTAAATTTTGAAAATGTTGCCCTTAAGGGTAGCGGGGGTAGGGGGTAGCTCAAAATTTTCAATTAGCATGTATAGTTGAGTTTGGTATCATTTTGTAGATCTTGACGAAACATAACCATTAACATACAGGAAATAGAAATCGGACCATTAATAACAAAATAGCAGTTCAAAATTACTTTAAATAACCATTGTCTTAATCATTTTAAGCTGCCATTTTGTTATTAATGGTCCGATTTCTATTTTCTTTATGTTATTTGTTATGTTTCGTCAAGACCTGTAAAATGATACCAAACTCAACTATACTTGATTTTTGAAAATTTTTAGCTACCCCCTACCCCCGCTACCCTTAAGGGCAACATTTTCAAAATTTACCATAATTATTGTAGCCCCTTATATCTAAGAAGGTTGCCGCAAACCGATTTCAAATATCTCAAATGGTTGCAAAGTTAAGGGGGGTGCAAGTTACTTCTCAGCCACCATGTATGTTAAATGTACTATGTGTAATGATGACGACAAGATGTCCCAATATTTTTAAGAGGCAAGAGGCTCGACAATGAAACCTTGATGTTTCGAAACTAGTCGCCATAGACTAATTTTAGGATTGATGACGTAAGGTATATAACCTATTTATATTGTTAAGCTTTTGTTTACAATAGATTCCA